CTCAAACAATCTACATTACTCTGAGGTGATTTCACACTTAAGTCTTACAAGTTTAAGTTAGCAGCATCTCGTCTTATAGAAATAGGAGGYCKYCCTTCTTGTGGGCGTTTCTGCTGCAKAGTTGTAGTAAACACTCGAAGGACTGCAATTCAGMATAATGACAATCAYAATCACWATCTTMCCATAAAACCAATGTCAAGAMAMTTCACRATACRCTTACCTCCATCCCATARTAACCTTATTGACTTCCTCCATTCTTGAGGCTTTGTAATGGACAGTGARGCAGAYGCAAGCAGTGATCCAAGCTGAAGAAACACAAACTTGTCTTAAGCATTGAGTAAAACACTTAAGGTGATCATAATGTTCTACCATACATTTCTTGTGTTTTATAATATTATATAACTTACTTTTTTTCAATACTCCAGTTTCGAGATCTTATTTTGTGCAGCCTTAACTTTGAAAGCATGTAATATATTCTTTTATTCAGCAGAGATCCTATTATAATTCAAACACTCTGGTGTACAAAGAAGACAATAAAAAAATACTATGCTTGATTGAAGCTAAGCTTGCACAAAAGAGAATTTGAAACTGGAGTATTGCCCTAATATGGCATAATGACGTCACCATGTGTTTACATCTCAGTCTTTCTCAGAAAGACTCAAAATTTGGACCTATTAACATTCTTTCTGAAAGTAAAACTTTAGTGTATCAAGTTTTGATGTACATCATTTATCAATGATAGTTTATCTACATTTTATTTGAAATGCAGCCACTCAGATCCCCTCTGGTGACCATAATCCTTAGCATTAAAACTAGAATGTTTGGTGTGATGTAATTATGCGATTATCATATCTTTTGGTAACACATATCATGGAATACTGAACAATGAAAATTCTCCTCTAAACCATTTTGATTTGTAGAAATACCTTCTTTGTGTCCATGACTGACATGTCATCCTCTCCATCAGTTCTGAGAGTTGATARAAATGAAAACTCCTTCATGTTCAGTAAGTAAGCTACAGCAAGGTTGTCTGCCTTGGCTGAAGGAACTGGAAGAGTACAAAGACATGGATTCAACACCAAATATTCCCCTTYGCTGTTTCCTGCACCATCTTGAAAAGTAGCTTGATAACCAGTGAATAATTATAGAAACCTCTTTCATAGCATTAATATTACTCACTGCAGGTGTCACATTGCAAGCTCACTGTTTTAAATCTTCAAAACTAACTTTGAGGCAAAGCTGTTGCTACCTTTCAAGATGTCATTGGGGTACAATGTACAGCAATGGAAGTAAACTGGTAGCCATTGGAAGATTCTATCCAATCAGAATACTTCTGCTATGTAGCTTTGATATTAAGCTCTGAACTTACTGTTTTGAGGCAAGATTTAAATGATTCAATAAACTCATTTCTGTACAATGTACAGCAATGGATTAAGTAAATTGGTAGCCATTGGAAGATTACATATTGTATATCCAGTCAGAATAGCTCTTATATGTAGCTTACAAAGCTCTGCACTTACTGTTTTTAGTACGCTTGAGGTAAGATTTAACTGAGTCAATAAGTTCATTCCTGCAAAAAGCAAATGACAACATCAGGTTATAATAAAAGGCGCCTCACGAACGTCAAGGAGTTAAAAATTCATAAAAATTCTCAGTACACTGCAAGTCCTGCTATTACTAAGTGTAACAACACTGACACCTCAATCATAGTGAGTCACTGCCTGTCAATCACAATGATTATAATCATCACTATCATTGCAATTTTCAAATTCAAAGGGAATTACCAACTGTTTTATTTGACAGCAGATTCTCTTGCACAAAGACCTTACCAAACATAAAAAGAAAGCACATGTCATCAAGAAAATGTTGAAATTACAATAGCCCTAACTATTTGCATTTCCCAGAGTTGAGGCTAACCCTGAATTCCCCAAAAGCTAAACCTTAGGACTTCTAGAAATATAGAGTTAGTCTCAGTTTGGGAAAAATGCAGATTTTCAAGACTATTTTGTAATAACAACATTTTCTTGTGCTTTCTTTGTGTTTGGTAACTTCTTAGCACAAAAGAATCTGTTGTCAAATGAAACAGTAGTTATTTACTGTACATGTAAAAACACCTTGAATTCAAAAAGGGAGTATTTATTTTAAAATTATTATGTTTAATCATCTACTGTAAAATCTGTATTCAACATACTTTTGTCTATCAGCATGTTTTTGAAGGTCTGTCACAAGCAATTCCTGGTGCAGTACTGCTTTGACTCTTTCAATTTCAGTCCCAGAACCACTTAAAGTTGTCAGTCTACCCAATGCAAAGCTCAGCATTTCCTCACATAATCCATATCGCTGAAAGAATGATGAAAGAATGAATTTGATGAGCTGGAGCACACGAGACATTTGTGCAATGCATATCCTATAATTATATAGTACCTTTGTTGTGCAGCAATGTAGTGACTTTGACAGGATGACATGTAGTAAATCTTGTACCACAGGGTCTTGTACACCATCCAGGCAGGATTTATAAGTCATGCAAGTAAAATTCTAAAAGAATGGTAAGAGGTTTTAGTACACTATGTTGTAATGACTTTCACTGCCATGACAAACATTAATGGTTGTTTAATGACATATCCAACATTATGAATTCAATAATTTTCCTCCTTTTTCATTGGTCAAGAGGCAACCATGTGAAGAAATAGTGCCAACCAGTGAGGGGTATTATCAGTGCATATTAAATGCTCAGTGCTTTTTGCCTGTTTCAGATGACCTGTATGCCACTGTACCTCATTGTGAAATCGTCTTGATGGCTGGATTCTGTGAAGTTCTTCAATCAGACTACTTATTTCTACAGCATCAAAACATGAGCGTAGTTTATGAAGAAGCCATCCACATCTAAGATCTGCATCATCTGTGCAACAAAAACATTTCAATGAACAACACAAATGTTGTTYGATAAAGTGAGGATTTGCTATTGTCAATGATATCTTTGTTTATTATGGAGGATTGTARTTGTATTGAAAATGCAAAAGGGGAGCTGGGAAAAGCTGTGATTCAATACTAAATACAGTAAATAATATGTTGCATAATACATGTAATGAAGTTGTGAGAAAATATGACAACAATCAAAAGCATAAAAATAGTGAATAATAACCTCTGTCACATTCTCCAAAGATATCTACAGGTTTCCATGTCAAAGGCTCCTTTTCATCCATAGGTGARTCATTTGGTATTTGCTTGAAAACAAAATATTTACAGGACTTTAGATTCACTGGTATATCAATACATATTGATATATCAATACATAACTACTTCTAAGCTAGAAATCTCACCAGATTTTGTACAAAAACGTCTTCTTCTGAATTCTTTGCAACCTCAAAGCCATTATCAACACAGCTACAAAGTAAACTGCAAAAACAAACAAACAAAATGTTCAATGATGGAGACTATAGGATTAAAAGAATATATGTACATTATCTGTATATGTAACAAAAACAACTTAATGTATGGACCATTGAAAAAAATCAAAATCATAATAGACTTACAGTACAAAAGACTTTAGAGCAAGAAATCTTGTGTCGCTATCAGCCCACAGTGCAGAGGATTTCTTCATTTCTTGAAATGTTTTTGAACAGAGCTGGTATACAATAAAAGCAAGGAAATAATTAGCATTACAAAAATCAAACAAAACMTAAAAAAATTATCAGTGGTAAAAATCTCAAGGGAAATAAAAATGCCATATTTATTGGAATTATATTAAACAAAGCTTTCTTTGAATGGACAATAATTTTGGCTTGGAAGATGACAGACTTCTCAAAAATTTAAGACATTCCACATTCAATGTTTAATTTAAACAGACTAGTTCATACACTTACAGACAAAATACATTGCAGTTCCCCATGCAGTCCTTTCTTTACTTTGTCCCARAATATGGCATTYAAAGGTTTATTCTCTATCACCTGTCTAATAGCATTGCAAGCAGCTATCTGCCATGKAAGGCYAGGTTGATCTGGAATAGTTTCTTCATTGACAGTGCTCTTCTCTAGGGCATGTCTATAATCCATTGGAAGCTCAAGTGCTATGTTGTCTTGGATGAGTAGGTTTATCATATCCTAAAAGGAATGAGTTTTGATAGTCTTCAAGTTACTTTTAAGAGCTGATGGATGAGAGAAAATTCKRATARCWTGACTGTAYGATRCACCACAACTACATGTAGGCATTTTGTGCAACAAAAAACATAAAGGGACGTATAGTCCTTGTACATTTTCATGTCTGCTAAAAAACAGTCCTGCTAAGCAARTTTTTCCTTTGTAAAAATAGGAGGTAGTTTTGTTGTCTCTACACACTATATCATGATTTGGGGAGGTCATTTAAGTGCTATRAAGAATCTGAGGACTACAATTCCTTTCATGCTTTGTTCTACAGAATGGCRTCTCTATACAATGCTTATTGGATGCTAGGTTATTAAATAATTGGTGGATAAATAATTGATCACTCAAAGTCAATTAATGTTGCCTAATTCATTTACCTGAGGAGAGGACAATCTGCAATGTTCAACCTTCTCAAAGAGAGAGACATTGTAACCTCTGCCTTCATGATCRGAGCTGAACARSGTRATTTTAGGTGGTATRTTCAACAAACCACAGCATGACATRTARTAGCCATGTAACATGTCTTCATTCACAGTATAGCATGATGATGTACAACACTAAAAAATAGAGACAATGGATAAGAACTGAAAATTAATGAAAAGAAAAAATAATGGGAAATGATAATATTTGCAAAAAGGTGTTGTACATGTAATTATTAACAATTTCAAGCATACTTTGGATTCTTTACAATGTTGGAATAATTTTGCTGCTTTTTCAAACTTTTCTTGATAAAAATAGAGCGTTCCTAAATCAAAGGACACCTAGAAAATGAAATAAGAATAATAATAAGAATATCTAATAATTCTTTGTACATCAGAATCATATCAATTAACCAAGAGTAACATTGTTTCTTTCACATTTATTGTTAAAAAGAACCTTGTTAAAAGTGGTTGTGTTGACGGGTTGGCCTCATTAACCAGGTAGAAAAGTATGTGGGTTTAGTTTGCTTGGACCTAAACACTTGGCCATTAAGACAGAGTTGCCATATGGCAGGGTTCCACACACTGTTCTTCAAATTGTTAAACTATATTCCATCATATGTACCTGAGCAACGAGCTCCTTGATATTCACTTTAACACTCTGTGTACAAATTGTGTGATATGACTTGCTTGTCTCTTCAGATGTTTTCTCTGAATCTTCTACATTCATTGTCTTATCAGTGCTTTGTTCTTCTTTTATTTCAGGGGGAGTGCTGCTATTCCCTTCTGTTTTACCAGATATAGACTCAGTATCCTTTGTATCAACATGATCACTGGCTTTCTCACAGGTGGCAWTACCAGTATCTGTGTCACTGGGAGAAACACTAGTTTCTGTATTTTTGATTGAAGTTTCAGGGGGGRYATCAATCTTGCTTGTATCTGTTTYACYAGGGGTGGGTGRATCAAAAGGACATGGTAGTTCAAGGTCCTCAGTRAGCAACAAAGCATCTTCAAGGATGGAAATGCTGGTTGAAAGTTGTTCTTTRAGCTGGAATACAATAAGAAAACTAAATTGAAGGAACTTAAATACAACAACCAGTTCATTTAAAGTGTACATTACTTACATTTTTCAGTGTATTTTCATTTTCTGCAGCTTCCATTAAACTAATTAAAAAGAAAACAAACTCAGTTTGCATAAATATATAGCAATAGGGTGCTTAATACTAGACTATACCCTGTCTTAGGCTTCCCAATGTTTGGCAAGAAGTGCTGAGCTAAGGTTCGTATCACCCTAAAGGAAAAAATTAAAACACTATTACTCTATACGTTGCTCCTTGAAGTAACTTACAATCCTAGTTTGCTACTTACCAACGGCARTAAATAACCAAAGCCATGGCTGACTGTTTGTCTAGTTCTTTCAGACAAACYTGTCCATTTAGAAACTATAAAGAAAACACCAACATGTCAATTCACAAGGGATTCACTTGCAATGTACAGGAGTACAAAAGAAAAATATCTGTGTCTCTATGTCCTGTAACAGCAATAATCACATATAAAATAAACTGGATTAGAGCAAAAGATGCTTACACTTTTATACTGTGGCACTTGAGTTTTCAACAGCTCATCAAAAAACAGTTTTTGCCAGTGCAATGAAAGACTAAAAAACAAGCAAACAAGAAGAATTATTATCACAATTATAAATAAAAATTTTGATTTTCACCACCAATACCATTATTATGTTTTGAATAGTCTGACCAATAATGCATAGCACCATATTCAGTTTCTTATTTTTGAGCTCCGATTTTAAGCTCCTAAACTGGAGGTAGACCTAAGCACTATCATCATCATCATAATCATCATCATCAACATCATCATCATCAACACCATCATTATCATTATCACCATTATCATCATCAAAATCACTACCATCATCAACACTATAATCATGGTTTATGAATACATTACCTATTTTCAAATGTCTCCAGGTTCCATTCCATRTGAAAGCCAACTTGAAGAGCCAACTGCTTGAGACGTTTAAATCGTTTACTATCAACTGGGTTGGAATGCTCTACAGTTTGCTGTTAGAGTCAAAATACGAATTGAGCATCTACGAAAACGTATAAGCTAGTCATAATTGTTCATCAAGCAAAGACTTAGCAAAACATACCGCATTATTATTGGAACATATTCCTGAGCGTTCCAGAAATTGTACAATGAGCTGTGCAGCCGTAGGTTCTGAAAGATTTTGATTGTTTWWWRTRYAYRTWAGCAMATTAAACTTCACCAAGTCRGTCAACTTTTAATAGCATATAACACAAGTCYATTTCATATTTGATTTATAAAAACGTCATCATTACATTTTGAGTTACATAGTCTACAAGTGTCTATTCTTTTGAGAATAGAAATCTCAATTTCTTTTTTTTTTTCCCATTTGTCACTGCCCCATTCCCCCTCCTTTCCCCAACAGCACTTTATAAAGGGCTATATTACAAGTTGACAATTTTGTATCCATGCTGTTTGATTATATACTGTCTTTCTTGAAAATGCAAACAGGCATTTTTACGTAGACAGTTCAGTGACAGTGATGATGTGAAACAATAACACCAGCTGTCATATTTAAATATTGCTTGACTGTGTTTGCAAGGAAAAACATGCACAGAACACTGTTTCAGATATCGAAGAAAATGGTATCAATTTCTTGCTCAATAATATTATCAAAGAAAGATAAGTTAAGTTAAGCTTATCACGTGTATGTGTGGACAGTCTTTTTGTTTGTATGGCAAAATGACGTCACGAAAACGGCCTGTTACCCGTTGATCTATGCTAAAAGTTTTCTTTTGCTTCTGAAATATKTACAATCAAATCCATGCAATATTTTCCTCCTCACTGATCGGAGTTATAAACTCTGCAACCCAAAAAATTATTGAAACTTCTGGYACATTTTGRAGAAGMGSGCTCAATTCCCGGATATTACAAGAATTGATTGTAAATTTAGGCAAAATGCCTTATTCTAGTTTTAAGGTTACCTGCTGTTGAGCTTTTGAGGTGATCCTTCAATAGTTCTCCTTTTTCATCAAAGAGAAACTCGAACCAAGAGAGYGCTTCTTGATTATCTTTTGCCGCCATCTTGTAAAAATATACARCCGCTGTCCACAAAATACCGACTTTACACAGGTGAGAGTGCACAGGTAGCCCAGAATAAYCAATCCCGGCAACAATTTTTTTGGCGGACAAAATGAAATATGTTTATAAKTTTTGTAGGTGTAATAACGATAAAGATGAAACATAACAGTAAGTTCTAAGCCAAGATTAAGTKGTGTCGGTGAACACCAGGCAGGAAATGGACACTGGAATCTTCATAGGTGAAAAAAGAGGAGTAATTAGTGAAAAAMGTACGCGCAAGATTCTCTYTCTCTTGTTTTCTTTATTATYATATAAATGACAGAAAATGACAGTYATTTTTACTGCCTTTTAATTAAAGGTCCCCAGTCTCCCCGACGGTTRCCCCAAAGGATGACATCACCCTTATCGTACGCATGCGTGCTGGTGTGTTTCAACATGGCGGAAAGTTGGTGGTAAAAAGTGTTCGTGTTTGAAGAAATTTAGAAATGAAGGATCCTCGAATAACTTAGCTATTTTTCATATAATAGCCTTGACATGCCAAACCCCGTTGAGGTATACAAACATAAATTGGTRCATCGAGTCTCTTCGTTTCAAAATTCACGACAAATTTTGAGAGAAGCGCGCTAAAGTTCGTCTCTGATATTTTTCCTCTTCTAGAACCTGTGCTTTGGAGACTTTTCTCTTGAAGACTGGCATCACATCCTCAGACAAGTCAGCTCATCTCGACCTCCGGTTGAGGTATTTATACAAGATTGATTTAACGATCTTTTATGGATATTTGTTTTTATTTTACGCGGCKCGTCAATATTCGCTGAGTGCTGTTCATCTTCGGTTTCGAAGACCTACGACGAAAGTGTTAACTTAATTTACGCTATTCTTTGTATAGTTTCTSTGCGATCTCGAATGCTCAGATGACGATGAAGCGTCGGCTCACAAAGAAGGTAATTTTTTGCAATACCTGTTTCTATCTCCATATACGGCGATWGTTTTCATGGTATCGGAAGCTGCAGTGTGTTATGATAATCCGTGACTGGGAAAAATTAAATGGTTTATCGCGTAACGTAACTGATACGGTCATACGAGGCCTTCACACTGTTATTATCTTTTTATCATACTGTAATAAAACAAAAACTATCGTTAAAAAGWCGTTTTATGAACAGAAATATTTCACTGCTACGTTCGTAACTAGGGAGGGGTGTGGCTATACCGTGTACATGTAATTCGTTTAATTGTTGTGAAATTTCYCATTATATTCCATGTTTTGTCAACTTTTAAGGTGTTTTTACATCAGTTAAATTACTATTATTAAAATTGATTGGACCTAATGTATTTTTAGAATGTAATTTATTGTGTTATTAAATTAATTTTTTTTTAGGATTTTTTTTCTCGGGTTGTAGTTTGTTTACAAACTGCATTACTTTGATCTCCTAGTCATAGAATTTAAAATTTTACTTGAAATAATTTTGTGGACCTGTAATAATGAACTACAACTTAAATTACAGTTTAAATTATCAAATAATTTTGTGTTTATTTTAAAAAAATATTTTTTAAATATTTTCTTCTAAAAGCTGAACTAGTTTTTTCTCCCTTAACCATCGTGAAGTTTTTGTTTTTTCTCCTATTGCAGGTATAAGCATCTTTATAAGGAGTTGCAAATTTTGTACGATTTTAGGTTTAAMTTCAACAGGGATTTTGTTCAGTGATGCTAGCCCACTTTTTAATTAGACTGATCTTAACTACATGCAAATTTGCAGTATTCTTCCCAATTTTATAATATATTTCTTTAATCGATTTTTCTGTAACCAAGGATAAAACATTTAGAATTGAAAGAAAGGCCCAGTTTGTATGTCTTGCTATCTTGGCCCTAAAACTTTGCAGAAAAGCATGAATCCTGTTGCCTTGTCAATAACATGCCATATTTGGTTTTGCAAGAGGGTAGCACAACATGACACCATTATTTGTAGTAGCTTCCAATAATTTCACTCTTTGTACATTACTTAACTACATTGTAAAGTCTGTTATATTTTTACTAGAGTTTGCATGCAATCCTAATTTCACTCTTTGTACATTACTTAACTACATTGTAAAGTCTGTTATATTTTTACTAGAGTTTGCATGCAATCCTAATTTCACTCTTTGTACATTACTTAACTACATTGTAAAGTCTGTTATATTTTTCCAGAKTTTGTATGCAATCCTGATGCCAGCAAAAGTGTGCCAGCAGGCCTGGAGGACTCAGGAGTAGAGATTGGCCTTGAGAGTGAGCAGGAAGGCCAAGCAGCCAGGAATGATACTCCMGTGTTGTTYCTGTCTGACAGCAAAGAAGATGACAAAGGTGTCGTAGTTCAGTTTGGTGGAACAAGTGTCATAGAAGATAAGGAAACAAGCAATGTGTAAGTTCATTTGCTGTGCCAAGAAGATTATGGTTATATTTATTATACAAAACATTGGCGTAGTTAGCTATTACCTCACTATTACCTCATGAAAATACAATCAACTAGCAAAGCTATGTAGACCTCCTTCAAAATTGTAATTGAGTAACTGCGTTCCCTGGTTTTCAGTCTTTTGTTTGTGAGTCATATAGCAAAAGAGTTACAGATATATTATTAGAAATTAGTGATGAGAAATCTTTTGTTAAAGTCGAACCAAACGTTTTTTTTCTATATTAGTTCCAGCTATCTTCAGGATGCTGAAAACTTYCCACCTCTCGGGGGTCAAGCACAGAACGATGAGCGTTCAAGGAAGCGTCGTAGGAAAAGGAGACAGCACCAGAGRTCGGGTGATGTGCCATGTTCCTCCAGTGAAGACAGTGATAGGGAGAAGAGTCCTGCYAGTCTGATTGACAGGACTCCACGAGTAAGAGGTAGTGCGACTGGTGGTGACAAGAGTTCTCCAACAAGTGCCCTTGAGCCAAGCAAGAGCACAGCAAAGAATGGTGAAGAATGTATGTTTGCAAGTTAATAATAATTATTACTTTTGTACACTGACTGACATTGTGGCTACAGAAACTGGGGCCACCTAGCAAAAGTGGAGCACTAACCAATCATATTGCAGCATTGAGCTGAAGTTTGAAATTACCTTGGGAACGCTGCAATTTGATTGGTCACTACTGGTATCAATTCTATCATGTCTGGTTTTTGCTGTCATATGATTGGGTCAGACACCTGAATTTGGAATGTTATTGTTTTCATATGTAAACGTGATTGGCTCGCTTTTTTTAAGTGGCCACTGTTCCAATAGCTGTACTGTAATTTGCCTTTCTGGAATTCTCTTTTTGAATACTATATCACTCTTCATGAAAGACAGTACTGTAGTTAATAATTATTTCCAAATTCAAGCCATTTTGGTTGAATACTCACCAAGTACCAACTTGTTTGAAATTTTGTGAAAAATAAGCTATAATAACGATTTTTGGGATGCTGATCAAAAGCTCCCCGATTCTTCATGACAAACTTAAGTCTATTTTGATGATATTTTCTCTCAGTGAAAGAGAGCAAGCCCACTGCAGGCAAGAAAGAAAGTGCTGACACMAGYAGCACAGATACCAAGAGYACCACTGAAACATTGCCAACAGCTGGAGAGAGCAGTTCAAACCACAGTGATGTTGACTCCAATAAAGAGAAARCTAGTGCAAGTAAATCAGACTCGGAAATCACAGTCAAAGCAAACAAACCAGCTTCATGGGCTGATTTGTTCAGAAATTCAACCCCTAAGACTCCAGCTGTAAACTTGATGGCCGTTAAATCTTCTACACCRACTTCTAAAGAGATTAATGCCAACAAGGTAGAGGATTTAACCCCTAAAGTTGTGGTTGTGGAAGAAGAYATTAGAGCTTTGAAAACTGCAGGTGAGAAAGAAGGAAGCCTTTTTTACAGCAATTAAAACACAGGAAGTTTTTGCTCAATATTTTTTGTCTCATTAGATCAGTCTTTTGGATGACTTATGATTTCTTGTATTAAAGATGTTTTGAGCTAATAATGTCTTTGAGWAGTTAACAAGTAATAATGTTTGTAAAAATACTTTGGATAATTATAATTTATAATTATGATAGTAATATATTATGTTCCTATTCTCTTTGCAGAGACTCTAAAGAAACTCAAATTGAACTATGCACAGAARCCAGTGTTCCTCAGAGGACTGATTAACAAGGCTAACTGGTGCTATATCAATGCTGTATCCTTTATAATATAAACCTATTCTAAGGGTGCATCTGTACTCCCAACCTTTAATAATAACCTATCAACAATGTTACACTGAAATTACTATAAACACAGGGCAACTTGAGTAAACCTGGCCCATTAGATAACTTTAGAGCCAGCAATAAGGCTGGATAACACATCTACATGTATCAATTCTAAAAGTGATTGGCTTATTCAAAAAGAAGCCAAGATAAGATTGGCTAATGGCTACTGATGGCGATATATCAAAGTGGTCCAGATTTGAGACAATATTTTCATGAAAAACAAACAACAGCAAATAGCGACAAAGGAAATATTTTCTAATAAAAGGTATTGTATGATAATATTGTGAATTTTTCTTAACAAGCTCAGACACTTCAAGCACTCCTAGCTTGTCCTCCCTTTTACAACCTYCTGATTGAAATCGAACCTTTGAAGAATAAAGAGACCACCTGTACTCCAATACTTGACAGCATGTAAGTTAACTATTGAGCTAAAACTTGTTATCATAAAGGTCACTCTAAAAAGAATTTTTTTTTTTTCTATTCTATTTCTAGGGTGAGATTTTCACATGAATTCAACCTCTTGCCAAAGTCAGGTAATAATTCTAATTATAGAAAAATAACAAATTATCTTATATTTTGTTGTTGTTTTATTATTGCTAGTTATATGATAGTTACCTCAGTCTATAATTCATCAGAGATGGACATCCCTAAGAAAGGTGTTTGTGGCACAAACTTCCACCCCATTACAGTGACAAGTTAGTGTTGATTTTAAATTTCTTTGTTTTTAACTATAGCACCAAACAAAAATGGCAAGATTGAGTTTCGTACTGGTTCGTCCTTTGAGCCAARCTATGTTTATAAGATGCTGACAACAATAAAGAGCTCTCTGTCRTCAAAGGTAAGCTACAACACCATCTATGTACATGAAAAATTATTTTAAACTTAGTAATGCTTATCTTTTCTCTAATCAAGCTCTGTGTTTTTAGAATTTGTAATGTTTCATCAAGTTCCTTTTCAAACCTCAYTTCTACACCTTTATTTTACTTCATTGGACTTTAATCAAAAAACTGTAAATGTGATTGTACTTTTCAGGGACGGCAAGAAGATGCTGAAGAGTTCTTAAGTTGTATTCTGAATGGCATCCATGAAGAAATGCTACAAGTCTTAAAGTTACTAGAACCAGTGAAACCAGAAATAACCAGTCCTGAACAAATTGCATCAGACAATCCAAGTATTGTTGCCGTCAATGGTGAAGACCTGGAAGACAATGATGATGCTGGAGACTGGGAACAAGTTGGACCGAGGAACAAGTCCAGCATTACTAGAACGGTCTGTGTGTGTTTTTGAAGTTTCTGCTCAGTTTACTGTAGAGTTGCTGTTTGTTTTCACTCTAGTAAAACATTTTCTATTAGTAACATTCTGCTATTTTTTTGCTGAACTTTTTATCCCTGTTACAGGCCATTTTCCCTCATTCCTTGGTGTCAGACATCTTTGGGGGGTACCTACGTTCATCGCTTCATCAAACTGGAGCCAAGGAATCAGCAAATGTGGAGCCTTTCTTTGATTTGCAGCTTGACATTCAGGTGTGGAAGAAAATGAATGATTTCATGTGCTTGTGTCACATCATTTTAAGGGCTGATTGCATTGTATGTACATGGTGGAGTAGCCACACATTGTTGACAACCTGTTTCAAGCTTTTAAACAGGCTTTTGCCGCAGCCATGAGTACATGTTAAGTTAGTACGACTGTGATTGAATCATACATGGATCCACACACAACAAGCTGCATAATGTAAATTGACTTTAATACATGTATATCTTTCTACACGTATATATTATAATAACAGATTTTAATAAGAGATCTGTTGTTGTTTTCTAGAATGTTACCTGCATTGAAGATGCTTTAACCCATCTTGCTGTAAAAGAGGAATTGCAGGGATATACCTGCTCCAAGACCAACTCGCAGGTRCACTATATCGACATTTAACTCACACAGACAAATCCTTTATATTATGAYAAAGAAAAGTTATAGTGCTTAGAAGGAGCTTATTCCTGGAGAAAGGAAAAGTTTGGAAAATCCCCAAGGGTCTTTTTTCCGGAATAACTTCCTTCCTAGCACTATTTACTTTACTKTATTTCTATRTCATGYATCTCATAGTGCCATGCGGTCCTCATATTCGAATCCTTGCTTTGTGTTTAACAGATTGACATTTCAAGACGGGTGACATTTGAAAGTCTGCCCAAAGTTCTCATTCTTCACCTTAAAAGGTTTATTTACTCATCCAATGGAAGTCAAAAGCTTTTGAAGCATGTTGATTATCCTTTAGAACTTGTCATTGGAAAAGGTCAGTCCCTTTGCTTAGTATGTAGTATTTTATACTGTGTAGTGTTTTCTAGACTGTAGTTTTGATAACAGTTTTATAACTATATAGTTTAACCATAAGAGAAAATTTACTAGGGTTTTGGACCTTAATATATTTAATTATTATTTTTATTTAATCCTTTCAAAGAACTACCATGTCCAAAATGACAACTGGTTTGCTTTCTCTCAAATATTGTACACGTCATATTGTGATTGAATTATGAATTGATTAAAGCCATTTTTTATTAGCTGTATTTTTTGTAAAAAAACTGATGATATTTAATGGTATTTATAATGCTCATTATAATCTCCTTAAACTGTGATTTATTTTTGAATATATGTGTGTTKAAAAGTGATGGATTTTGTACTAGTTATTTGCTGTAGGTTCGATATAAGTTGTTGGAGAAAAATAACACACAGAGAAAACAAACACACAACCAAACATGACCGAATCTGGAGCAGAACTGATTTACTTGCGTAAATTGCGCGCTACAAACGTGATCAACACAATTTTCCAAATATGGGTGTCACATAATCTTGACCTTGTCACATAAGTGTACAATAAAAATTGTATTGCATTGATTGTTTTGATTTTTATTTGACAGAATTGCTGTCACCAAGTGTGAAAACAAAGTATAGTATTGCACAGAAAACATACAATCTTCAGGCTGGTAAGACAGTGTTGTGTTCTCAGTTCACATTAGATTAATTTATTAGGCAATTGGTTATCCATTTGATAAAATTGTTGGCTGATTGTTTAGGTATTTGATTCAACAATTGATTTAATGATTTCAGAATATATACAGCTGTATATTCCTTAATTCAGGATTGTTTTATCAATCAATAATATTCTCCTTCACGGTTCCCTGTAGCACCTTTAAAAAGGTTGCCATACCTTTTCATCAAATCAAGATGACCGCTCAGTATGCAATAACCTTCTTTCACACCTACAGACAATTATTAACACGTATCTGTCATCGCATGCTCAATGGCTGTCTCAATTTGATGAAAAGGCACAGCTATCTCTCAAGATGGTGCAGGGAACCGTGTAGAAGACATGAATTTGATTGACTGATTTGTTCAACATGTCATCTAGTTAATTACAACATCCTTTCTTTCTAGTCGTCTATCATCATGGTAAAACACCATGTGGCGGCCATTACACTGCCGATGTCCACCACCCTGTGCATGGCTGGGTCCGTGCCGATGACACTAAACTAAAAGTCGTGCCAACAAACCATGTCCTCAAACCTATCCAAGGAAAAGATCCCTACCTACTGTATTATTACAGGACAGACCAAATGGCATGAAAAATGTATTTTTGTAACAGCTTCACTTTTCTATGTTTACATGTCATCAAAGACTGATAATTATTATTGGGAATGGATTCTGAATGCTGTCTGTTTGGTTTGCTTGTTTGTGCAAGCTTTTTTGGAAATACCAAAGATGTAAACTTTTTTGTAGGTCAGGAGAAGACTTGTTCTAATTATTGCATGCACATTGGAKAATACAGCTTTCATGTTTCACAGCAAAAACACTTATATTGCAATTCCTACTTTGACTTTCTACATTTGATTTGTTCATTAGAAAACTAAGCCATACATTTTGCCATTGATGGTACAAAAAACTAACATTTCAAAGTTTTTACTTGCAGTATAAGTGTTTTTACTGTCTGTTAAATATCAGCTTCAGGTACAAAATATTTACATGTGTCTTTACACAAGCTTTAAATTTGATAAAATCATTTATTTGGGAGGCTAATATTCAGCAAGTGAAACGTAATATGGAGGAATTCAGCTGTGGCAATATACAACAGCAGTTAGTCAGAGTATAAGGAGTTTAAATAGTTCAGTATTATTCAAATAATCTCCTATATACTGTAGCTTCCAGCTCCATTTATGRTGCAGTGCCTTTGCATTGYATTRAGGTGATCATTGAGCTTGCAATGATAGATATCTGTGCTTAATATTGTCCTAGGAATCAGTTTTTACAAAGTCAACAAATGTCTTTCCTGCTTTATTTCAAAATGGCACAAGAATTGTGAAGGACACTAYTGCWAGGCAGWAYTATAGACCCTTTGCTGTTTATGGGAAAATGCAGGTCCAACTGGAGGACAAAAGSGATTCTAGTTCCCAAGAGAAGAAAAATCTTCTGTTTTGTCCTCCGCATTAAGCTGSTTTGACGTCAYATGCAAKGGGTCTATAGGAAATAATGTTTGCRTGTACAATGTTTAAGTTTCATCATAGACTGTATTATTTTTGATTCCTATCCCAACCTATCAAACCAGTATGATCATTGTCAATGCTAATTACTATAATACATAATCATACATAATCATACATTATCTTACATTATCATAAATTATCATAACTTTGCAGTTATCAAGTTAGTTTCTTTTTTATTACCCCCAAATAAAAGCCATAATTGTCTAAGAATGATGGAATATTAGTAATCCATTACGATCTTTGATTGACAATTTTTTTTCCTTTTAATTCCTGCTTTGTCGATAGACACGTAATATTTATTACACGTAGACTAATTTTACACCTATAATAATTACACATAAATACTTGTCGTTGAAGCCACACACTGTTCAAATTTTTTTATGTTTCTATAAAAATCTGAAACGAACTTGTAAGGGTCGCTCCCTTTGAACAGGAAAATGGCATATTTTAAGATCACATATTGTAGCTGAGAGCAAATTCAATTGCCTGATGTATTGTGATTTAGCAGAGATTTTGAATTTGGTAGTAATATTTAACCCATTAGGTCTGTGACGGAAATGGATTGGTTTAAAAAACTTTAATATCAATGTTAGACAGCTAAGACTTGTAAGACTTTGCTTGCACAAAGCTCGACTAACAGCAGTTTTGTTTTATTTGTACCCACAATTTATGATCAATAGTTCTTCACCGGTGCACTTTRCCCAACTTGGTATTACACAAGCAAAGTTTGACGTTAAAAGGGATTTCAAACGGAGTTTTTTTCCACAATTGCTGTTTTGGTGAGCTTCAAGCAAAGTTGATAAGTTATTCTAAAATACTTAGGATACTACGCGC